TGTCAGATCGTATTGTCCATAGTTAAAGGAAAATTTGACATGACTATGTTTACCAAAATACTATAATCTTAATCTGTTTTAACTTCTGTTATTGAGGATTTTCGAGGACCTTTCTTTCGAGAAGAAATAGATGCAATGATTGTCGATCAGAGTGTTTGCAATGGAGTCAATAAGATAGACCAATTTATCTTTATTAAGAGGAAGATTAGGATTCAAACATAGATCTATTATTCCATTTTTTTTTCAATCACTCATCTGACATCATATTTTTCATCGCGTAGTTCTAGGGCACATACTTGGAGTACGTTTTAGAGGCACATTGAAAGTTACCTAATTTTGATCTAAAAGCAGAGATGGTCAGCGTTTTGCAGTAAATATTTTTGGCAGCATATGTGTTCGTAATTTGTACAAGACTACTTTTGATAAGATTTGGTCAAATCTTATATTGCGTTTTTAAATGCAGAATTATTCCGAAAAAGATACAGATATTGCTATATACTTACTACATGACTATTTAATTTCAAGTTCGGTTCAACCGAGAATATGAATGTTGATTATTTTGAAAGTTATATTTCAGGGCTCTTCTACAACAATACTTCATGAAATTTTCATAGAATTTACCATCATTCCAATATAAGGTAACCTATAAAGTTTTCGTTTACTATTACAAAAAATTAATTTTTCAATTTAAGAAATATTTAAATAAGTTTTTTTATTTTCACATAATACGTTAATAATTTGAACGGTGGAATGAAAGAAATATATCACATATTTAGATCTGAAGAAAACTAAGCTATAATTTGTTTTTTTTCTGTCGAATATATAGTTTTGTTTGCTCTCACAGGTTGCCCGTTCATGTAAATAGTATTATAATTATAATAAATATTTAAAGTCAACATTTGTATTTATTTTATATTATCATCATAAACGATGCTCATAAAACAAATATAATCCGTTATTTTTTTATTTTATTAAGTTATGTGCCATTTAAAATTATTTTACCAAACGGTTTTCGGTGAGAAACTTTATTGCTTTATTTTTACGAGATAGATAAATGCTTTAAAATTGATTTTTTGAATATGGACCTGATTTTGGATATCATACAATCAAAACAGAACACAGACTAAATAGTAAAGAAGGCAATTGATTTTATAATATAAAAATTTAATAATAAATTGAATTATTATGCTTAGACTTCAGATAATTGGAATGAGTTTGCAGGTAGTAATAATGACTCAAAAATTTCACCTCATGACTTTTTCAATTCTAGTTACTTCAATGCAGAATAGTCCATATATATATATATATATATATATAGTATATTATATATTTTAAATTACTTGTCATTCGCTAGAAGCTTAATAATAAATTTTTCTCATTTTTATCGAAAAACTATTATTAGTTCACTGTTTTCCTAAAATCATTAGATTTCTACTCAAGAAATACTCATTATATGAGTTTGTAATTCTTTAGACTAGCTTACCATAATAAATCTAAAAAATGTGTTATTTTATTTCACAACTATTTTTAACCTCATTGATTATTATTTATCTCACTTTATTCGATAGAATATATCTAAGTACCTCTATATTTTAGTATTGGTCATTATACTTAACAATATAATTTATGCAAAAACGCTTTTAATAACAATTACAAAATGATTGAACTTATGTTGAAATAATTGTTAATATTCATGTAATTTGGGATTAGTGCCAAACTTAGTTTTTTGCTATATAATCATATGATAAATTATTAATTTTAGATAAAATAAAAATGTATCGAGCACCAAATTGTGGTCTCGTAATACTGAACTTGTTGGAGCAAAATAAAGCTCTGGTGACCTACCCTGGTTAAAGTCATATTTACAAGAATTGTATACTACAGAGTTCTACAATATATATATATATATATATATATATATATATATATATATAATGTGTGTGTGTGTGTGTGCGTATGGCGAAGATGTATTTCATTAATATTTTTGTGCGCCACAAAGTTCAGTATCACGGCATTCTGAATTTCTAATTAATACCACAGAAAATCTTATTTTTAAATTGTTTATACTATCACATAACTTTGCGAATAATATTCGATTGATTAACTATCATGTACGTAATTCGATTTATTATAGTTGACATTTGTATTGCCAATATACTATCTTAATTGAATATTATTATATATGTATGTAAATGTGTGATTATGGAATGGTTTCCCTCACACATAAGAAATATATTGATTCAAGAAAATATGAATTAAAAAATTAATTCATATTTTTTAGAGCAACACTTTTATATCTTATTGCTATCATAACGTTGGTATAGTTATAAACAAAATTAATAACGATGCAGTTTTTGGTTAGCATCGCCTAGATTCTAGTATTTTTTTATAATTTAAAATCATGCTGATAGTATCTTAATGTATTTATTTTCATAGCTTTTATAAGCTATATTATCATATGGGCCGCTTATTACACACGTGAATTACCTTTGATTTTTGAAAAAAAACATAAAATTTGGTACTAAAGCACTTATAAATATCAAGAACATTTTGTCTTTGGTAGAATATTTGATTTCGATTAAAAGACCTTTCGATTAACACCATATTCTCATGTTTTCAAAAAATATCTAATGGACCAAAGGATAAAGTAAAGTCTAGCACATTATTCTGAACTTAAAATTATTGGTAACTCTTACTTAATATTTTAAAGTATGAAGCACATATAATATTTAAAACCGTCTTACTGGTAATTCGTGATTCTTATATTTTCTATATAAAAAAGGAAATACTTTCAACGTCTTTCAATGTCAATATTAATTGAAATGTCCAATTTAACCTAAGGCAACTTTTTCTATAAATATATAATTCTAGTAACACATAAAAATAAATTACAATCAGGCGAATCTCTTTTTGGCAGAATTACGACCTTTCCAAACATTAGCTTTGACTAACTTGTATCAAAACTCAAATTTTTAATTTTGTCAATGCCATAATTTATGTATGATATACATCATACATAATACCCTAGTACATTTTAAGGTGGTCCTTAATATGGATGTTTCCATATTAAGGACCTTGCTCCCAGGGGCTCAAATGCTTTCAAATTGATAAAAGAAAATTTTCTGAAAGTTTTAGGTCTTAATATAAACTTTAAAATATTCCGCAATCGTATCAAAGTTTCTATGAAAATAACATAGTTAAAATACGATTTGTTTTATAACTTACTAGCGACAAGTGAATCAAAATTTTGAGAATAACATTGTTATTACTTATTTTGATCATAAATAAAAAGTTCACAATAAAAATTTCATATATTTCATAAAATAAGTACATATTTTTTCGGGAAGCAGAACCAAGAAACTTTGGTTGGAGTGCAAACTATGTTAGAGTTAATATTGAGAGGTAAAACTTTCAGAGTTCTTTTTATCAATTTGGAAGTATTTGAGCCTCTGGAAGCAAGGAAATTCCAAAACATCCATATTAAAGACTACCCTAATATATATATATATATATATATATATATATATATCTTTGGGGACGGCTGTCCACTTGAGTGGCCAAACATACTCTGTGAGGCACAGGCTATTTTATAAACAATGACTCCGTTTGCATCGAAAAGTTGAATAAATTACATATAGCAGTGATAAACAGTGTAGTATTTTGAAAATAATTATATTTTAGTAGTATTTTTAGCCGTTTTCTTTGCTAAATAGTCTTTTTTTAATATTTAAAGTGACCGAGCGCTTTTAAATATGGCAAAGCGACTAATAAATTTTTGAATTAAGCAGTAGTGAAGATGAGTTTCAAATAGACATTCATACAGACAAATTTTACGAAATTACTATTCGCACCGAAGATAGTGATGAATGTGATGATGATATTATCCAACCAACAAAAAGAAGAAGTTCGACAAATTGAATGAAGAGTGGGAAGACATTAGCGAATGTGCCGATTCTCCTTCAATAATCGAGTTTGACATACATCAACAGACACCCCGACTACAATTTCTAAATGCGAGACAAAAAAAAAGGATTGTATTGTCTGCTCTGACAGAAAAGCACCAGGAGAAAGGCGGCGAATAACATTTTATTGTAAAACATGTCAAAATCAACCTGCTATGCATTTTGGAAATTGTTTTGAACGTCACCATTCTTTATAAAATGATCAAAAATAAATTAATATTATAAATGTATGTCCTCCAATGACCACACATTTTTATCAAACAAATTGCATAACATACACAATGAAATCAAGTTTACAGCCGGTACAGTAGATTGTTTTGAAATCGGTGCCGTCCCGAAAGTGATATATATATATATATATATATATATATATATATAATTCCTGCCTTTAAGTAATTGGTATATATACATACTTAATTAGAGTATTAATTAATCATTAATCCATACAGTTCTGCGCCATGCGTTTCGTTTGTCATATCGTTTTAATCAATTGGATATTGCTCATAAAATAAATTAAAACATAGAACCGAATAGGTCTGTAATGAAAATATGTACAAATTAACATTTTTGTGATAATACTTTCTAAAATATATTTTACTTTATTACCTTTATCATTTAGCCAATTAGATAATCCCTAATAATAGATTGATTTTATGACAATTCTTCTAATGTATTCCATACAGAGTTAAAACTATACGCACATTGGTGCCTTTATAGTACAGATCTCAATTGATATCGTTAATTTGACTTGGAAATCCAATGTATATAATTGCATATCCCAAGTTTTCTGTAATGTACAATGTGTGCATTGAAGAGCTCAAATGGTTTATACCTTTTGGTAGAACATTTCGTATATTTGGTATGTGATATATATAATAAAAGTATATTTGATCTGAGAATTAATGTTCATCCAGCGTAATGCTCCTATTAATTTTCAATTAATTATCATGCTAATGTATGTGATGCAAAGCTCTGCGCGTGGCATTAGACCGTCGTCACACGATCCACTTCCACATATCGCACAGAGCTTTCGCTATGTCAGCAAATCACTTCTTTTTCATTGAATACCGGAGTCTCCGATGACGAAAGACTTTTTAACCTTGCTTCCAATATCGATCGCCTCCTCCTGCGTCTTCTTCGGCACCAGATACACATCATATACAATATTAGCAACAGTAGAAACAGTAGTCCTGCCAAAATAACCGCATGCTGCATGGGCAGATGAACTAGTGGCGAACATGTCAGAAATGCTTCGTCCCTGCCCGATGGACAATGCGGTATGTTGTCGCACCACAACGAAGCGCTTATGCAAGCGTCCAACTCCGGACAACGGTATGGGCAGACTGGATCCAGGCCGAACATTTCTGATAGTGTTTCTACACTTGGCCTGTGAAATGATTTCAACATCTCTATAAACAGTTCCAGTTGTGAATGCAAAAATAAAAACATGAAGTGCGAGCATCACTTATACATCGGCATACATCTTATAGAAAACACTGCATATAGAACTAAGGGGTCGATTCTGCAGTAAAATGAACCAATGTTATGGCAAGGCTATGTTACGTAGCGTTTTGCATACAAAATAGTCGTAAATAATGCCAAAATACCATGTATCTGCTGTACAGTTAAGCGTTTTGGATAGAAAATAGAACTTTACTCATATGATATTATGCCACATCACAAAGACGTACTTATAATAAAATTCTTTTTTTGACGTCTGTGCGTTTTCTAGGTTAGATTTTCTATCAAAAACGCCTAACTGTACGTTATGGTTTTTAGTACCAATTTATATGAAAAACGCTACGTAACACAGTGTTGCCATGACATTGGTCTATTTTATGGCAGAATCGGCCCATAAATTATAAAATGGTAAAAATACAATATTGCAATGTGAACGATATATAATTATTATGACATAAAAATGTTACATATTTTTAAATTTATTATTACGATGGTCTTAATGTAGATTAGCATTTTTATAGAATGAGTACTTTTTTCAATTTTATCCGCTCAACTTGCATTGAAAATTCTGATCTTGTTCATTTTTTTTTATTTTCTTATAAATTACCATCTGTCTAAATCGAAAGACATTGAGTAATTAGTTTTACAAATAACATATTAAATTTTAAAAGGAAAACCCAGTGGTTCAACTTTTTTTAGTGTACTAAATTATATTTAAATTTTGGTATAATAATAAAAAAAAACGAAACTCAAATATACAAACGATTATAAACAAAGTACATTACACAGACTACATATACACATACATACACACACCTATTTTAAATAATATGGTAGAAAAACTTATTATTGATTAATGTGTTAGATCTATTAATTGTATTCTTTTTAATCTTACATTATGTGTGCTGTTGTAAAGACTTGCAATCAGTTCGTTTGGATGGTAATCTTGTCCATTTAACATATAAAAATCTATATACATGCATGATCGAAATATTAAAAACAACTTTGCAAAACTTTGAAAAAAACTAGATGTTTAAGAAATTTTGAAATGTTTGATAAAATTTGACTTCTTGAAAGAATTTTTTTTTGAAAATTTTGAACATTTTTTTTAGCAATTGCGCTGCATAGCTGATTTGAAGTCGAAATATCAAAGCGCGTAAGCGCCGCGCAGTCGTCTAACGTGTAAACGTTGTTACTGAACCCATATAATGTACACAAAATTTGTACTTATTATCACAATCTTCATAAAATACTTGATAACACGATGTACATATGTCTAATGTTCATTTTTAACCGCCAAATGACATTATTTTTTTACTTTTCTTATTAGATCTCCGGAGACGCTGGCCTGCCTTTACAAAAATTTCACCAGTTGTTCATTTCGTCAATACAAGTAAAATGTTATTTGAATTATTTAAATCGGACGCTCCGTTATCTCAAAAACTGAAATACTATTTTTGGCACTTTTGCCCCGTATCTCCGAAACGACTAGACCTGTCTTTGCCAAAAACTAATCAGCACGTCTCCTTATCAGTAGGAATCGAATGTTTTTATTCAATAATTTCAATTCAATAATTCAAATCGGTTGATCCGTGTTAGCAAAATCGTTGACGAAAATTTGTATCCGCACACACACACATACATTCATTTTTTTAAGGTATGCCAAAATGTTCAGAAAAATCTGAAACGTAAAGATCTATACAAAATTTCATTTTCGATTTTGTTGCGATTACTATAACTTAATTAACTTACGAAGTTAATTAAGGTTATTCTTCTTTTATTGAATAGATATAAATACTATTTTTAAAAAAGCGGTTTTGAAGGTGCTACATTAAGATTACTAATTAATTATACTTTGCTAACCTGAGTTCCGGTTGTGACCGAGTTTAAACTTTGACACATGTATTACTGTTGTTTTATAACATATGACATAATTAAAATGAAAAACGTGAGTTGTCTTGGAATTTGTGTTCACATTCAACAATATTATATAACTTATGATATGACTTATGATATATATATATATATATATATATATATATATATTATTGACTAAAAATGTTAAAATTTATCCACTTTCCAAATATACTTTTATTTTATTCATGCTTTTTACAATGGATTTTAGTATGAACATTTTATAATGCCATTGTGCGGATTTAAAAACTACATAACCTCTCTGTTTATTTATTTCATTCATCGCTCACCTCATTGTCAACTCCAGCCAAGTCACGACATACTCTGCATTTTCTTCTCCATGGAACTCTATGATGATTTCTGTGCTGGGTGTTGTCAATAAATGTCTCTCCGAAAATGGATCAGGCGTGGGTACATGTTTGTGTGGCGGCCAACCATCAGAAAATACATCGACAAATTGATTTCTGTTTTCCGATGGGCACACAGTTATTCTTTTTAGGCCAGCATGCACCAGGATACGATTGCTTGTTTCACAATTCACGCCAACTAAGGGTATGAGTGAAGATATAGGTATTGCCGTTGAGTTGGGAGGATATTCGTGTTCGTCCACTGAAGCTACGAGGACTCCTGGCACTCGAACGTAGAGATAACGATTGTGCTGCGGTTCGACTAGCCAGGGATGATAGGCACAGTTCAACTGGAAAAATAAATCATTGCCGATTACAATCGATGAATAAATAAATACATCTATATTACTTTTAAGTCTCTCTGTTTTAAATGTTGTCTCAAGTTAATATTCAAGAAATAATATAGCAAGTGACGATTGATGCATGAAAGCTTACGTTTTAATCTTATTGCTGATATAAAAGTAATTAACTAACAAGAATTTTAAGAATAAATTTATTAATCAACCAATTAACCATTTTGCTACGAATGTCGACTATGGACGACATCCGTATACGTCCCCGATATTCCGCCTTGCGTCCCGGCTTTTTCTAAAAGCGATATTTGTCCCGGTTTTAGGTGTTTTGTCCCGGATTGTCCCGGATTTTTAAAAATGTTTGATCGCCAATATTTTTTTAAATATATTTCAACTAGAAAATTTGAACCCAAAAAATGTGCATTTAAGTTTGTAGCTCAACAACACCCCACCCCCCGCTCTCACACGCATTCTAATCCGGCCCGGATTTTATATATATTCATTTTGTTTGTAGACCTTTTTTGCTTAATTCAACATTGGAGTTTTTTTATTGGTTATTTTATTGGTTAGAGAGAATTTTGTCAAGCTCAGAAAGCGGTCAAATATAGGTAGGTCTGATATGGCGGCGCGAGCAGGAAAGATTTTGCGGCGATAAAACTATTGATTTTACAAAAATAGTCATTGAATTTCCTCCAGTTTAATTTGTATGTAGCTATTTTGATCGTAAAGTAAGTCGAAAATTTTATCAATTTATGGCGTTTTACCTAACGCTTATTTATGCGCCTACGGCAAAAATTTGGGGTGGCAAAGTTGAAATTCGTAAAAGGCACATCGAAGTCTATTAGATTTCAATTTGCAAAACTCTCCGTGTACTTTCCGAACAACCGTTTTTTTTTGCACCAAATGATTGGACTATAAGATATTTTTCAATTGTGTCCCTCTCGATTTAAATAGATTTTTATAAGATATTTCTAAGCCTCATTAACTAGTATTTAGGCTCAAATTCCACCTAGTACGTCATAAGTGAAATGAGGAAGATACATACGTCGTAATATGTTAATTTTTATTAAACAAATAGATATTGGTAATAGTTTCGCCTCATATCTGCAACAACTATACGGTACAAATCGCATTCTATATCTACGCCTGTGTGATTAAAAATTATTAATGATAATGATATTAAGTAATGTGAACGTTTCATACTCACGTCTTTGGAATCGCTGCCAGGCGGGCGGAAGCGCATCTCGCCGCTGACTCCGCTGACCCTTCGGTTGGCCGTGCATTGCGGACTGCGGACGAATTCGTAACTTGCCTCAAACATTAACGTATCGCCGTCGTCATCAGCGCGCATTTTTTTAGCAGAAAATCTCAATTCTGCTCCATTAGTGGCCGATATGAACGTATATGGCATGGACACGCCTTTTGAAATAAAGATAAAATATAATAGTAGTCTATAGAATGGTGCCTTAACCACTTCGGTACGAGCGACGAGTTTACTTGACGACCGCAGATGACGGCAGTCATACGAACGGTCGAGCGACGATTACACGCGACAGTATTTCAAAGTGTCACCACAGGGTCGGGTCTATGAACGAAGCATCGTACAAACGAAGCATGCCGGCTGTGAGCGACATTTCGTGGACAGTAGGTGCTGTACCGAAGCGGTTATTGCAAATTATTGCAGTTCCAGATTTAAAGTTTTTTTTTATCAGTTTCACAAAATTAAAACTCGATTTACTTTCGATTATAGAGAAATATTTGGAAACGTTGAATTTCATGATGGAACGGATGAAATGAATTTTGTGGAAAAAGTTCACTTTAATAGAATTAAATTACGTCGATACGTGGAGAATTATGTCAATTTTATACGCAAATTATATTTTTGTATATTGATATGAATTGTATAGTGCAGTTATTATAGTAAGTTCACCTCAAAATTCGAGATACCCAGCTGTAAGTCTGTAAATACTTGTATATTGACACCCTAAAGTTGTCTCAAAACCTACATCTGGTATTGACACTCTACCATATGTAGGTTTTGAGAAAACATTAGGGTGTCAATTTACAAGTATTTACAGACTTACAGCTGGGTATATCGAATTCCGAGATTCTTACCTAATTTAAGCTTAAATGACTAGACTATAATGTTTATGATAAGACTAACAAAATCTGAAACATTCATTTACATGCTGTTAAAACCTCATACAAACATTTTTGCTCTCAAAATCGCTAGTTTTTTTTTATTTGTTGGCCTACATGGTCAATTCTTTTCCCTAAATTCATCAACTCTTTATACCATGAATACAAATCGAATATTTAATTTATTTATTAAATCAATTTATTTATTTAAGAATTGATTTATTATGTTTGGTGTACTTCATTAATAGGTAAGGTAATTATGAGATAAATTTTCTACTCTTCATAGTACTCATACTCACCAGTAGTTGTTTGAGAACAAAAACATCCTTTTCTAATGGGTGGGGCATTGTTCCAAATATTTTCGTATAAACGTAGTGTGGCCGACTTATCGCCAGAACACTCCGCTAATCCAGTCGATTCATCGATGCGCGTCAAACATGCTCGGCCGCTTGTCGAAATCCGAGTTAATATTATTTTTACGCGTTCTCCTCGCTGCGCCTCAAAACGATAACGACAACTAACCAAAAGATAAGGGAAGAGTGTTGGTTTAACATCAATCAGTTCTAATACAGTAATTTTTCATACAAAAATATGCCCGCAAATATATTTTTTGGGTTTTAATTTGTTGCACTCATTTTTTCCAAAATCACCGGTGAATAATACTATTACGTTATAATTTAGAGAAAAATTACGAGAAAGGACTTACTCTAAATTCTCCGCACCGCCACGGCCAAATAGAAAAACATCTCGAGGAGATCTAACACGTTTAGATGTTTGAGGATATAGATCTAAGTTATCCCTCGCACGGCTTACAAATTTGCGGTAGCAAGCGCCGGTGCCAAAAGCTTCGCCATCTTGATGAAGGTCGACGAATTCGTACTGGATTCGAAATAACAGAGGCCTAAGAAAGATATGCTTTATATTAAATTTTCTTTTCTAACAATAAATGTTATAAACTTATAAATAGATATATTAGTTGGCAAATTGAAAGAACACATATACAACAACGAATTTATGTTTTATTTACCTCAGTGCTGTAGATTCCTTCAAGCTGAGTTGAACGGTCAAAGTATCAGCACTACTGAAGAAACTCTCTGAATCGCTGCACGGCCGAGGCAACTGTGCGCTGCCATGCTGAAGAAGCCCGTGATCACAACTCCGCGGCACCAGATCCTTGCAATATCGTGCCAATATCGTTGCGTTACCTGGTGGCTTGCGACCAGTGCTTCCGCCGACTTTAGGCAAGTTATCGTTACCACTGGAACAGTTAAAAAATTATAATATTTATTAAATGAACTATTTATTGAAGAGAAGAAGTAATGTTGGATTAGCTTTTTATCTGTAGTAGTATGTCAATTGCATTTATCGTTATATATCTAAGAAAACATGCTTATTACGAATACTTTTTAATAGTTTTGTTTTACCGTTACAACACAATAAAATTTTATTATGAAACAATTATCAAAATATATTATAAATACCATGGAACTTCGTTGCACGTTGGTGGCGATCTCAGAGGTCCGTCCCAAATATCTAAACGGCTTGAACAAACATCGTTCTCTTGTATTGGTGGACCAATGGTTGAACCTACAATAAACTTAAGCACGGACAACCATATGCGATATCTGGGCTATAGCGTTGCACTCCCCAGACGCCACGAGAAATTGTCTGGAAATCGTGCTGACGGTCTGGATGGATTTGAAGCCACTGTCGTGTCTAAGCCCTTAAAATAGTTATACATATATATATATATATATATATATATATATATATATATATATATATATATGTTAAGGATTTTTTTAATCCAAGATAAATATTGTCATTAGGTTAATCTTAGAGTTGTTCATAAACATAACTGATATTAGTTTCGTTATATTATAGTCTAATTGTATTGACTTAAATTATAAATATTGAATTTGAATAAAGTATCTATCTATATCTTATATATAAAAATAGATCGCAAAATGTGTTGGTAAGCGCATAACTCAACAACGCCTGGACCAATTTGGTTAATTCTTTTTTTAAAATGTTCGTTTAATTCCAAGGATGGTTGTTACGGCGAGAAAAAACGAATAATTGCCGGGAAACCTCTAAAAACAGCCCTGTTCTTCTTTAATTGTGTAGGCAACGCAATTTGTGAAAAAAACAGTGATCTATGTCATGACATTTTGTGTAGTTTTTGATAATCTAATTTTGAATATATTTATATAAACATAGAAATATCTTTCTATTAATCAAGCTATATTGGCAGCCAAAACATTGATGTAAATTAATTAAATTTCAAAATTCAAGAACAAATTACAGGCGAATCAGTTGATTCGGCAACTAACCAAGACGATCCACCGGAGTTTTTAAACTCGCTGGATTTGCTAGGATTGTCACCTCACAATCTTCAATTAAAGGTTGGATCGGCAATTATAATGTTGCGAAATATCGACCAACCGTGCATTTGCAACGGCACAAGGTTAGCGATAAAAAAAACTACCAAACGACGTGATGAAAGCAACTATATTGGAAGAATAGTATAAAGCAGAAGATGTTCTCGCACCGTGCATCCCAATGTTTCCGACTGATGTGCCATTTGAGATTAAACGACTACAGTTTCCAGTGCGTTTATGGTATCATTAAGTGTTTCTGGTATTAATTTGAAAAACCCATGTTTCTTACATGGAAAATTGTATGTTGTCTGTTCCCGTATTGGAAAACCATCACATTTGTTTGTCTATGCGACAGGTAATCAAACAAAAAACATCGTTTATCACAAAGCACTACAATAAAAATTGAACTGATTTTTGAATTATGATTTACATTTACTTTTAAATTTTTATAGTGTATTATTTAATTATTTTTAATTCACACCGAATTATTACCAGGGTGACGGTTCTGTTCAGGATAATTTTTTGCAAAGAATATAAAAAAGATAGGAACAAAACACCGCCACAATACAAATTTTTTTGACAGGACGAAGTCATATATCCTAACATTTATAAGATTATTATAAAAATTTACCTGAAAATGGTATAAACACGTCGTGTTAGGACTAAGCGTGTGCTTTGGAGTTTCCAGTACCCCTCGTCCGGTACCTCGCAACCAAAACTCACATGTTCGTTTGTTACTTGCATATGTGGGTGAGGCTTGTTCCACAAAGCGAACCTGATAATATGTTGAGGGACATATATATAAATATTGTAATGTATATAAAATGAACATTGAATTATGATTTTAAACTTTTTAATGTTATATTTTAATAATTTAAAAAAATAAAATTAAATTTTACCTCTACTTCTAACTGAAATCCGTGCAAAATTTGACGCGGCGCTGGATGTAAGAAAGTGCCATACGGAGAACTAGTGAACTCAACGAGCAGCTCTGGCCCACTTGAAACTGCTTCAGGCACAGGTTCATCACCTCCGCAAAATCGTAATATTGCTGGGTCTCTCGTCGTGTATCCATCGTACACTGTAACGTAATCCTGAAATGGACTCAAATAATTAGCTTTCGTTGCTTTTGAATAGCTTTCCGATCTAAAAAGTTTACAAAGAGCAAAATCTATACCTGTACTTCATCGCATTCGTTCCATACGCGTAGGCCTCGTTTCGGTTTCGATCCTTCTCCAACGTGTTCGGTTTCTGGGGTTGTTGGCGCGGCGTGGAGAACACTATTGCTTCGTATTGCAATCAACTGCCCTCGAGGTTGACGAACACTGATCAGAGCGTGTTGACCAGGCGGGACGTCATGCTATCAGGGAAAGCAATTTTTAATTTTGGAATACAATATATATGTCATTATATGTCAATATCTTATGTGTTTATCATCTTCTCTGGATTATTTGAAAAATAATAAATAAATACATTTTTAGGCTTACCTGTCGGACCGCATAATAACAAGTGAGATTTCTAGGATAAACGCCCGGAAAATTTGGGCTCTGTAGACGGCAAGCCTTTCGGTCGCAATCGCTAAATATTCGCGAACAGTAAGTACCAGGAATGAGTTCTCCAAGGTGGTATAGTGGCTCAGCTACTTTGGGTGGTCCCAGTTGCGGCTGTGATGGTGGTTTCGAAAATATTGTCGAAAACGTTGGAGCCAGTAGTGGAGGAGCATTGGAATCACCAAAAACTAACGTAAGAATAAACCGTAAAATTATATATATATATATATATATATATATATATATATATATAATAAAGCTATATTACGTGGCAGTTTTCATATAAAATTGTACTAAATACTGTTTAAATGCAATGTATTTGCTGTACGATCAGCGTTTTACACATAAAATGCAACTCCACTCATATGTTATTAAATCATATCACAAAGATCCAATTCTGATAACATTGTTTTTTGACATTTGTGCGTTTTCTATGTTAGGTTTTCTATCTGAAACGCCTGACTGCACAGCAACCACATGACTTTTGACAGTATTTAGTACGATTTTGTATGAAAACTGCTACATAACATAGCCTTGCCATAGCATTGGTCTGTTTTACGGCAGAATCGGCCCCATAAATTAAATTCTACTTTTATAGATTTTGTGGAAACTAATGATTGTACGTAAAAAGATTATGTTAATAATAATTATAAATTTTTGTACTTTTACCATTACATTAGTTATAGCAACTATTGTTGTTGCCAGATTCCAACAAATAAAGAAGGACAACAAATAGTTCGTTTGTTTATTCATCAAATCGTCTCCTTGTGAAAAATATTAGTGAGAACTAGGGAATGCAATACCGGTATACCGTTATACCGAATTACCGGTGAATCGCCTGATTTTTCGGCGGTATTTTTACCGGTATTTATTCCAAAAATACCGGTATTTTCGGTATTATTACATAAGCACTATTTGATACATAATACTCTAAAGTTTAAATTTCTCGGAACAAATTTATCTTTAAATTCCACAATCGCATAAACAGCTATATCTTCAAGGGATTCTATAAGATAAACAAATGTCAAATATTATCTCAACTCGTCATTAAACTGAATATTTATTGCTTTCCAAAGGGCTTCATATTGTACAATAAATAGAATTAGACTGATAGATAATGATGTTTGTTTCATCTTTTGTAAAAATGTAACGGTTTTTTAAGTGATATTTGCGCCAAAATATTTTATATCATGCAGATTACACCTGCGTAATTTTTATTTTTATCTAACTTTATACATAATAATTATGATAATTAGTAAATATTTTTGCTTCTTATTACAATTATAAAATATTAGTTTTCGAAAATGTTTTGAAATTTGAAAATACTATGGAAGCATCACATTGTTTTAAATAACAATACTCAACAATTAGAGTTACTTATTATTTATCTCGACAAAGAATCCGATCTCAAATTAGTGTAGAAAAATTATTTTTTTAAAATATTGGAGATTATGCTAATTTAACACATGCTACAGGATACAAAAAATACAGTTTATTATATTAATGTAATATGATCTTTTATGAGTTTTTGGTCTTTCTTACTCATAAGTTTGTTTTTGGTAAAATGTACTTAATATACTCGATAGTGATAATGAATTAATTAAATTGCATATACTTTTGTTAAATTATTATTTAAAAAAATAAACTTATTGTTCTATTTTATTGTTTAGTTGAATATAGTTGTAGTTTTATATTCATTTTTTATGTTTGTACTAGTAACTTTCAATTGTGTTTACGTTTGTTTAAATTAATAAAAATACCGGTAATTTACCGGTATTCCGGTTTTAAAATGAAAAATTACCGTAATACCGGTATTGAAATTTTCCATCGGTATTGCATTCCCTAGTGAGATCCATATATCGTTGTTTAACAATACGTGTATTTAATTTGGAGCTGAATATTTACCGCAACATATACATTTTCATAGATCAATATCATATAACGCTGCATTTTATTTCAATTTAAATTAAAGTTAAGTATACTTGAAATTGCGTACTTATGTCTGGAACGGCACCTCCGTATCTAGCAACAGCTTCGACTTTTTGCAACATTTTGTATTCGATCTTGAAGTCAAAATTGTAGCCGTTGATTTCTCGCGACAAGTGTTGGAGCCGTACGATCGCCGTTACGCTGCGCGTCTCGCTGTAGAAGTGCGCCGGACTCCACAGCGTGCCGCACCACGCGCCCCCGACTTGCGGTCTACCCAGCTCGGACAGCTGCAGGGTACCATCTGGGCAACCGGCAGTGGTAAATGATGTAAACCGACCCAAAGTGAAACTTGTGAAGGTTAACTGTTGGATTTCAAAACCTTTTATAATATATATATATATATGGAACGTACCTAGTTCCGAAACGTCGTTATTAAACATCTTCAAAAAACAAATTGTTTTTTATTATTGGATTTACTGTTCGGAAAAGAAACAATCTATATATTGAAAAAATCCAGGACTATATATATATATATATATATATATATATATATATATATATATATATATATATATATATATATATGTAGAAATATGAACAAACAACACTCTTTTTTTACTCTAATATATTAAATAATAATTTTACAAACGTTTCGAGACTAGGTTTGTATCATCATCAGTGTGTTATAATTTAAAATCTAAAATATGGAAACCTAAATTAGCATTATGTGTCATCCGTTACAAGTCGTTCCTTTTACTTGTAAAAAATTTAATGTAAAAACTTCTTTTTACTTTGTAAAAATTTAAATGTAAAAGAAACGACTTGTAACGGATAACACATAATGCTATTATAAATTTCCATATTTTAGATTTTAAATTATAACACACTGATGATGAGACAAACCTAGTCTCCAAACGTTTGTAAAATTATTATTTAATACATTAGTGCAAAAAAGAGTGTTGTTTGTTCATTTTTCTAAATTAATATCTATCTATCCAATCAATATCTAATATATAATATATATATATATATATATATATATATACATACATACATACACGGGCCAACTTGGCAACCGTTGTTCAGCTACAAAAAATAGTTCTAGAATAATTTCAGTATAAAATATAGCAAATTAATAAATATAAATTAAAACAAATTAACAAATTATATGGATGGTTTAGCCACTGCAAAGCATGCCACATATAAATGTTTATAGGGCATATATAGTCATTGAAAGTGCCAGCGCCAGCCTAATCTGAAGCTGATTCTATTTAAATTGAATAGGCACATTTAGAAATTCAAGGTTTTTATTTTTCAATAATTCATTAATTAACTAGTAGAAAGTGGCATTTTTCCTTAAAGCAAGTTGCATGAACTCCACGAAATGTGTAATAATTGTATTAATCGACCTGAATTAAAATTATAACTAGTGGAATGCATGGCATCGTGCCTTAAGGCAAATTGCTGGAACTTCCCGTACTAAAAATTATTTTTTTTAAATAAATTAACATTTTTGAAAAAATTTTACTTTGAAAAAATTAGATTTTTGAGAAACTATGAATTTTTGATAAGAAAAAATTTTTTTGGAAAAAAGACTTTTTGAAACAAAAATGTTGTCTTTATTTTGAAATATTTTGGAAATTCTGAACATTTTTTCAAAACAATCGTACTGCTTTAACTGCATAGAGACGAAATATCGAAGCGCGTAAGCGCCGCGTCGCCGTCTAACGGATAAAAATTGGTACGGAACTCATAGGAATGTGAACAAAATTTATACTGATGATGCATATGTCTAATGATCATTTTTGATCGCCAAACGTCATTTTTTTACTTTTTTTACTAGATCTCCGAAACCGCTAGACCTGCCTTCATGAAATTTAAGCAGTTGTTCATCTCGTCAATACAAGTGAAATGCTTTTGAAATATTAAAATCGGACACTGCGTTCTCTTAAAAACTGAGTTACCGTTTGTGGCACTTTTTGTCCCGTATCTTCGAAACGACTAGACCTTCCTATGCTAAAAACTAATCAGCACGTCTCCTTATCCACATCATTCGAATGTTTTTTGAATAATTAAAATGGTTTGAACCGCGTTCCCGAAATCGTCGACAAAAATTTGTATCCGCGCACACACACATACATCCATTTTTTCTAAGGTATGCCAAAATGTTTAGAAACCTCTGAAACGTAAAGATATATAAAAATTTTCACTTTCGATTTTTTGCGATTACTATAACTTACCCTAGGGGAAGTTAATAAAATAAAAGAAATTAGTTAAAAAAATCTTAAGGCTGGTCAACCATTAACTCTTACGGGTATGAAAAATAGATGTTAGTTACTTCTCAGAATCAGTCATACTAAACGTGATCACAAAACTTCAAAAAGGTCCAACCGTTTCAGATGAATATTGTGACGAACAACATGACATCGAATGTTTTATACATATTGTTAGCGAAATAATAATATATTAGATAGGAGTGTGATTGAATGTCGCGCCTATGGATGTATGCTTGAGGTTGTAGTACCAACCTCAGATCCGACAAACAACCTGTTGACAGTACTGGCAGACACACCTGAAATGTAATGTATATGAGTAAAAGAGCAAAGTGGCCGTCAGTCTAAGTTAGGCATTTGATGTCCAGATACCATGTGATATGTGACAATGACTATGCAAGCGTTGGGGTAGTTGATTGGAGACGGCACGCAAGGATGGTATGTTCAAGAAGACTGATAAAATAAATGTGTTAGAAAAGTGACGGCACCGGTGTTTGATTTAATATTTAATATATGTAAGCAGCCACCTGAAAGTCTGCCGTTATCCGAAGTGGAATATCGAGATAGATTTGGATACTTTATGTACTTAGAGTGTAGTGAAGGTTATTGAAATAGGTGATGTTAATAATTTTTGTATTCAGGCGGATTACTAATTACGGGGTAAGACGGCATTGGCCCAAGTGCAAGTGTTTTATGAAAGTTTCGTGATTTTGTTTCGTTGTGCAAAAGTGAGGTTAGCACGTAGTTGACTAAAGTAGAAATCATGGATTAACACGAGCAAGGAGCGCTAGTAACGTTGGTGAGTTGCGGTACAGTAAGTT